TTAACCGGTACATTATTATATGGCGTACGCATGACAGATAGGCCATTAAATCGCTAGCGGATCTGGAAATCTTAGGCAATTTGTGTACGGATGTATGACAATTGAATAAAGTTTACTGTGGTGGAAAGGATTCAGGAGACGTTAGCAGGTTTTAGGAGAAAACGAGCAGATACCAGGAAACTTGAGCATGTTTCAAAGGCAGGGATAGAGTATGGATTTTAAGAGGTGTAACAGGGAGGGTGTTACAGATTAAATTTTTTTATTTTTTGTGACTACACTGACAATTTTCACTGTTAAAAATGAGGGGGGAACAGTGTTCCCCAACAGGAAGGGAGCATTCTCCCATTTGATGTGATGCTATATTGATGTGTGCAGCCTGAGGCGTGAATGTCTGATTGAAAATTAATTGCATGATGGTTAACGATTTGGGAGGAATTTGTGAGACATGGATGCACGTATTGATGTACGTTCTTGAGACATTGTCAAAGTTTGTACATCCGACAGCAGAATGATGTTATGTGAGGTTTTAAGATTTGATAACACTTGAGTAAATGTTGGTATATGTATAACCCATGTGTCTGTGTGGCCCATGTATAACGATTAATAGACAACTGACTAATAATAATAATTTTACTGTTAACATTATAATTTCATTTATTTATTTGACCATTAATTAAACAGACAGAAAAGATAAAAAATATCATAGATACTGGTATTGACAACAATAACATTACTTTTTAAGAAAACAGTCATAAGCTCATTTGATTTAACATTGTTTTAAAATTTGTGCTATAAAAATTTTAAATTATTATTATTATTATTATTATTATTATTATTAACAATAATAATAATACTAATATTAATAATAATAAAAATATTGAAATGATAAGCATAAAAATAATAAAATAATAATATAAAATAATAATAATAATAATAATAATAATAATAATAATAATAATAATAATAATAATAATAATAATGTTCTTTTATGAAGCACATTCTACAAAAAGCCTAAATGCAATTCACAGAAAAAGGAATGAAAAAAGTTCACAATGAATCATTACAAGCATGAGAAACAAACTACATTTAATGAAAAAATTATAGTACAATAGTGATTGATATTTGATTGAGGCTTCGAGAGACAGGAGAAGGTGGGTATTGAATGTAATGAGAACATTTCTCAAGAATTGTATCTATGTGGATGCTTTTAGGATGGTGAGTTTGTGTCTAGTGTGTTACCAAACCAGGTGTTGGATAGTTTAACTATTATTTATTCATAAAGAATTTTATAACACTTTGATATATATTGAGAAAGTTCTGTTGGTAAACATGTACAATACCTGTATTATTAGATTTTTTTGCAGAGTTTTCATTTATATGTGTTAAAATTTTTGTATTATTCATCAACGAATCGTGATGTTTTAATCATTTTTCATGAATTTCTAACTAGCTCTGAAAGCATAGTAGCAATTAGAGTTGAAAGTGGCTTGAATTTGCAATAACTTTAGAAGAAATGAATAATTGATTGGAATTATATGGACGACATCTGGTATTTCAGGTGTGTGAGTTTGTGTGTGTGTGATATGGCTTTCAGAAGTCTCAAGCCTATCTTATCTACTTTTACTCTGTCTGTCGCAACTAATACTATAGTGCTTCTACCACCAAGCATTTTGCTACCCAACATGATGTTAACTGGGTTTATATTAATAGGCTGTTACCGTTATTAAACTGTTTTTGGTTAACAAACTGTAAAATTTTGCGAAGGCTCAGTTTCCTTATCTGTTTGTCAATTTCATTTTCAAAATTTACTTATTTTTTCTTATATTAAGGTTTTTTTTTGTAGTTTTAAGCTTTTGTATAACTTTTTTTTTATGTATGTAGATTCGATTTGTCCATTTTAACATTTGTGAAGGGCATTTAACGATATGTTTTGATTGAAAATTCACTATTATTATTATTATTATTATTATTATTTTATTATTATTATTTGATTCTCTCCAGTTCTTGATGTTCTACTGGTATTATTATTGTTATTATTATTATTATTATTGTTATTGTTATTATTTTATTATTATTTGATTCCTTCCAGTTCTTGATGTTCTACTGGGATTATTATTATTATTATTATTATTATTATTATTATTATTATTATTGTTATTATTATTAGGTATTATGTAAAGTCTTTGTAGAAAACTTATTATTATTATTATTATTATTATTATTATTATTGTTATTGTTATTGTTATTATTATTATTATTATTATTTTATTATTATTTGATTCTCTCCGGTTCTTGATGTTCTACTGGGATTATTATTATTATTATTATTATTATTATTGTTGTTGTTATTGTTATTATTATTGTTGTTATTGTTATTATTATTATTGTTATTATTGTTATTATTATTATTATTATTATTATTATTATTATTATTATTATTATTACTATTATTATTATTATTATTATTATTATTATTATTATTATTATTAATATTGTTATTATTATTAGGTATTATGTACACTCTTTGTAGAAAACTTGACAATTTTTATTCAGTATTTTTTTCTCTAGAGTATTACATAGTTGCATATTTGTACATCAAATTATGCAACAGTAAAGGTGGGCAAAATGGGGCCCTCATGTATACAGTATATAAAAAAATATATTTTGTTCGGCCTGCCTACCATCTTTGACTATAAAACTCTTCTTACGATGGCCAAACACTGAACATTTGAAAAAGTAGGATTTTGTAAGCACAATAAAAAGTAACATTTTCATCATTAGTGTCATTTGAGATTGTACCTCATCTTCAATTTGCTCTTATTTGTTCTAATTTCTTTGGTGATTTCAGTCTCAGTGTTTAAAAAAAAATCCACTTGACTTCAAAGTTTTTCTTGTTGCCAGTCATTTAATTTTCTTTAAAAGTAAATTCTATATGAATTTTTTGAAAGTAATTTTTCCTCATTACTATTTAAAAAGTCAAATATTATTTTATAGGAACTTTTTAAATCTAAAATTGATAGATTCTCAATATGGAATAAATATCTTGCAAAACAAAAAAAATGGAATATTAAAGTTTAAGTATAATGTAAGCATTGTTTTTCATCTCAACAAAATACCTACTCTTTTTATTTACTTTAAAGTGCCTTTACTAACCAGACATGAGGCATGGAAAGCAAATTGGAAATGTAAGACTGTAACAAACGTGTATAAATAAGTGCTGAAAATTGTTACACCAATTTATTATTCCCTTTTTCAGGCAAGACAAATAGGATTAAAGTCTATAGAGAAGTGAACAAATTGTCTGCGACTTTAATGGCATTAAATAGTACTGTAATGGCAGTGTTGTAATGGTGCTGCTTAAAATGTATGTCGGGTGTCAGGAAAGATGGAAAACAAAATTTAGATACAGTAGAATAAGTGGGTATATATTCTGGATTTCATAATATTAATTGTAAAATAATATTAAAGTATTAATAAAATGTGTTGCCATCTTATGTTGTCATGATTTTATATGCGTATTCAAATAAGATATAAATGCCTGGGTTAAGCTAAAAAACTTAAAACAATTAATTCAAAATTGAAATTGCTTTGTGTATTTTTGTAAGTTAATAAATCAAAATCAATCAAATTTATATTATTTGCAACATGAATATTAATGCAATAGCTTATTCAACCAAGTCACTAAAACAGTACAAAGGAAGAAGGGTTGGCTGAGTTCCAGCTTAGCAGGCATGCTCAAAGTAACAGATATTATAATATAGTTTAATTTTGTTTTAAGTTTTAGTTTCAAGATATGTTTGTTTAAAGCATTTATCAAATCAAAAAATAGGTATTCTCACTACATTTATTTATTTATTCAAGTTAAAATTTAAAAAAAAATACAAACACTAAAAACATCAAATTTAAAAAAGTATAAAATATACAATTACAAAAATTAAAGATCTATAATATTAATGCCTTATATTTAAAAATATTAAAATTTGTTAAAAATATGATTATATAAGTAATACTGTTCATGCATTCTTTTGCATTAAACCTTAAATTGACTGTTAATTTAAAAAGTTTGCCTGTAAAGCAATTATTTTCAATTTATCTGTTTGCCTTTGTGTCTCCATTGGAACATATTCATCTCATATATATTGTATTGTAGTTTTTATCTGATTGAGA